AAAAAAAAAAAAAAATACTTTACCACAAATAATGTCATAGTAGGAGCCAACATTGTTATGTGTTTCCCATAACAACATATTGCTTTGAGTTTTCTTTTTTCCTAAACATTGAAATGTCAAAAGTTGGTAGTCTTTATCTTGCAGTGATAACCGAAATGCACTACGTACCCCCTTAAGAGATTGCCTTTTTTCACCATTGGACTTTGTTGTTAGAAAACCCTCGTACCCCTTAAGTACCCTTTGTTGAACTAATATAGGTCGCACCTTTACTGGACTAAAATTGAAACTATTTTTCTTTATTGAACTCTATTTCATATTTTATGCTATTATAACAGACTACAAGAAAACTAATCGAGTCCGTATGATTACACTTTAGGTTAAACCTAAAAGAGACAGGGAACACAAATTTACGTGGTTCAGTGGTCAATCTACATTCACCCAGGGGCGGATTTGGGGGTCCATGCCAGCCCCAGCCCAACTTCCTTTATAAAATATATTGTGAAAAAAAATTGCGGAGTTTTTATTTATTAAATTATTTTTACATATTAGCCTAGCTTAAAGGATTTTCTAGTCAAGTTCGCCCCTACACAAAGCCAAGAAGAACATTTCACTAATAACCAAAATGGGAGAATACAAGTGCTGATACCCCATACTCTGAACACCCAAAACATGCATCAAGAAAGATTAAGAAAAGCTCAGTCTCACTAAAAGAAAGCTCTCTCTAAGCCTATGTTTGGCTAATGTTTATAAGATTACTTATAATCGATACTATCACCTTTTATCCACACATTTTATAGTATCCACAAGTACTATCTACTTATCCAATCACTCATTTCAAAAAATTTAAAAATTAAACTGTTTGTAATTCAAATTTAGATGGGAACATAAACTCAAGAGCTCCTTCTCTAGGAGCACACAGTGAGAGCTAATTAATCTCTATTGGATGTGGGACAAGAAAGTATGCTATTACATGTAGGAAGAAAAATTTCTCAAAGCCACTAGGAGAGAAGAAAACTCAAATATTTTTCTTTTTAAAATTGATCAAAGCCACAGTTAACACTATGTATATGTATATATGTACAAGCAGATTTGTTGGAAGATGGTGCATACTCAATCATATTTTGTAGGAAGTGCCCATAAGAAAATTAAAAGCAAAGGAAAAAGATGTATGTTAGGTCAAAAATTGAAGATGCATATCATCTCAAGAAACTTGAGAAACTTTATCTTCCTCAATTTCCAGTAATAGGCCTTTGAATAAATTGGTTACCAGGATCAAGTGCTAACTTTCCTAGGATGTGAGATTTGCAAGAAAAGAGTAGTAATGACTGTGTTCAAATCAGTTTGCATCAGAATATCCAATTATGGACAAATATATGTATGCACACCCTAATTAATTTAGATCCCAAAGCTCTATAAACACAGAATGAGGAGAAACTGATTATAATGTCTATCTTAACTTTTTGATTCGTAACAAAATTAAAGAAATTATACATTTAAGCACGTTGTGCAGTGGCTAGTGTTATTGAATACAATGTACAAAAGTTCTATTTCTTTTTCTCAAATTTTTGTGAATTTACTAAACTCGCGATGATCCAAAAACTTATCCAATTTCAGAGGCAACAAGAATAAGTAAAGGTACACTTCTAAAATATGACTTATTCCATTCATCGGTTCCGGGTTTGAACCTCATCTAATTTGAATTATCAGGCAATGTTATTAGAGATGGGTCAATCCCAAATTTTATCATCGCCCCCATATGGGCAGAACTTGCCATTATAGCCTAACGTGTAAAGCTAAATTGTCTATAGTTATAATTATCATGAAGAATCCACATGACCTGATGATCTTTTTAATTTTTTTCCAAAAATAATTCTCTAAGTGTTACTGAATGAATCATAGAATCATCAATGATGCAAACTGGTAGACGTCCCTTTAAAAATATTATCAAAATCTATTTCTTTCCCATTACTTGCAATTTTTTGTTTACAAAACTTTATTGTTATGTAGAATGTCTCAAAGATAACTTTTTTTTTTTTTCATTATCATAAATGACCTTTGTCTTTTAATATAATTAAAATCTACCTATATTGGTCAAACAAGGTAAAATGTGCCGCCCCTACTTTCGCACCACCCAACCACCGCCTTCGCTCTCACCCTCGCCTAGTCTTAGCATTTATTTTCCATAAGCAAATTTCTAAAGAAAACCTTAAACACGTAACTTCCAAACAATAAAAATTTGGTCAACTCACAAATGAATGATAATTCCGCGGCCAGGGTTAGCATTTATTTTTGTTGTTGGTGCCGTAAATGATATGGCAGTAAAGGTGGCAGGCTCAAATTAATGTTAAACTTTCTTTCACATTTTGTATACATAGAAAGGGAAATTACACCACACCCTATCTTAAAAATTCAACATTCTAAAATCAGGTGGAAAGTTTCACAATTCAAAAATCAGAACTTTTTTTATATTAATTATTTAAATAAACTAATAAAATTAGGAAAATATCAAAACCCTACCCACTACCCAAACCCGTAAATCTCCTCCCTCTCCCTCTCCCTTTCCCTCGCCCTCG